GATTATCTAGATTATAACGAAGAATACAAACACCTCCATCACGTCCCTGTGTGGCCAAAAATTTGAAAAAGAAATAATTAAATAATTATTTCCTTTGTATATTTATTTTTTAGGATTAATTTAAATAATTTTTAATTACTAATTAATCTGAGATTTTTTATTAAAATTATAAGGATTCTGTAGGTATTTTTACTTCCAAATAAACTAACAAAAAAAGCAGCAACTAAAACAAAAATAGCATTTTGTTCAATTGATAGTGCACATTTAGCATAAAAAAGATCATGATATTCTTGTTTAAATAATTGTTGCCAAGAAGAAGGAATATAACAATTTACAGACCAAATTTCCAACAATGTTTTGTCTCGATAAGCAACAAATAATTGGTTATGTTTAAGTCCAACTTTAACAACATGCCCATTCACAAAATGTTTTGGGCTAGCAAAAAGGATTGGCTCCATTCAGAAATTAAAATTATTTTTTTGATTAATTTTTAGAAAATTTTTAAAAAATCTTTTTAAGGAGAATTAAGTACATACATAAATATTTCCAATAGAAAAATTAGCTCAAATTCTCCCTACAAACTTTTTTTTCTTCAAGTATAAAAAATACGAAAACAAAAAAATCTTTTGCGGCCAAGAGTAAATAAATATAAATTCAAGAACAGTTGCCTGCTAACAAATCAATATACACATTTTATTTGAAAACAATTTTAAAAAAGAAAAATATTTTTTTAAATTATTTTAAATAAAAATCATCGAAAAAAATTAATTTAAATGTCTCTCTGGTAATTAAATATTAATATTTTTTAATTTAAAAATTATTCTTAAAGGAAAGATATTGGAATTCCATACACTCGTTTCTCTCAAGTAGCTGCTGCTGCTTTGCGTCAATGCTTAAAGGAGTATCAAAAAGAGGCTCAAAAAAGTACTGGAATTAAAGTAACTCAATGGACAGATGGAAAGGCAAATAAATTAGATTAGTAAATAAAATTTAATTTAAAATTTATATTAAATTTAATAATTATTTAAAGTTTATAATTTAGGAATGAAAGTAAAATAATTTTAGAATCCTTTTGAATTACATGTAGATACATTTATTTTTAATCATATTTATAAATAATTTTATTCATCAAATTTTCTTTTCCAATCATTTGTTTTATTAGCTAATATCTCAGCTTTTGTAACAATTTTATCACGTTTAAATATTTCCATAAATTGTATAGCAACATTTGCCGGCCCACAATTAGCTACCCCAACAACTCTATCAGATTTAAGAAAATAAGCAACAAAATCATTATTAGCAAGAGAACCACGAAGAATACGTTCATCTACAGGAATTGTTGGGTCAAGACTTGAAAATGTTAAATGTCTATCGAAAAGTCTAATCCAAAGAAAGGGAACAAGACGAGGACGTGCAGAAATACCCATTATTGTATATGCAGCTATTTTACCTGAAAAAAAGATTTTTTTATAGAAATATCCCCCCCTCCCTCCCCTCCGAATTTCTTTCTCTACCTTGATATTGTGCAACTTGCCAATGGGGCAAATTAATTCTACGTTCACCAAATTGTCCAGAATTAAAAGAAATAGGAAAATTAACACAATCTCCACACGCATAAACATTAGGTATATTTGTTCTCATTGCTTCATCTACAAGAATATAACCTTCTGCATTTGTTCTAATACCTGAACCCATAAGAATTGAAGTACTTGGCATTATACCTTTTTAAAAATATTTTTAATAAATATTTCTAATAATTAAAATAACCAATAGCAACAATAACTGTATCAGCAATAGCTGTCATTCCATCACGAAATTTTAAATCTTCAACACGGTCAAATCCTCCCATTGAACGTAGAACTGAATCTTGACGAATTATTACTCCCTGTTCTCGAATAAACTAAAAAAATATACTTTTTTAAAATTATTTTTTAATATATTACTTTTCTTATTTCATTTCCGACTTCTGAACCTAATAATGTTAGAGGTGTAGATGCTTTACCATAAATTGAGACACTTCTTGCTATTGGATAAATCTGTAAAAACAAATAATATTTTTATGTTTAATTTTAGGTATTAAATACCAAACTAGAAATTTCAAATCCTAAAAATCCAGAGCCAATAATTGCAACATTCCTTGCTGATTCATTAAGTTCAATACTCAATTGTTGAGCATCATTTAATGTTCGTAAATGTGTAATTCCTTCAAGATAATCAGCTCCCTAAAAATTAAAAAAGAAATTTTCTTCCCACAAAAGTTTTCGAAAAAACTTTTGTTAATTGAAAGTCCATCAATAATCTCCTCCAAAATATTATAATTAACTTGCCTGAACTCCCTGTAATCTTTTTGAAGTAGCACCCAAACCAAGAACCAATTCCTCATATTCCAAAGCCCTAACTAGTGTTGGTTCCCCTCCACCGCCATTCTTTTGTTTATATTCCACAAAAATACGTTTTTCTTCTGGTCTAACATTTCGAACACTATGGCCAAGCAATAAATGGACACCCAAACGTTTCTCTAGAAAATCACGTGAACGAAGGGTAAAAGAAGGTGAATTATCATCATTAAATAATCTCTAAATATTTAATGTTAATTTTTTAAACATTTTTCTTTTTTTACTTTTGAAAGTGATTTTCGATCATAAGGTAAATCATTTTCTCTTGAAATCATTAAAATATGTCCAGAATATCCCAAATGTCTAAGTGTTTCAATACAAGTAATTCCAGCTATTCCACCTCCAACAACAATAATTGGGTTAGATGCTGTTTGTGAAGAAATTCGGCAATAATTTAAAGGGGAAACTGTTCGTGTTGACGTTAATTTTTCTAAAGAAATAGATTCTGTAAATAGAGCAGAACCGATAACGTGAATCTTAAAAATTTTAAATTTTTATTTTTTTATTTTAGATAGACAAGGACTTTAAACGTCCAAATAGAGTCCAATCCAACACCATCTTCCAGAACACCAGTTCTAATATTGTAAGCAGAACCATGAATAGAACAACGAATATGTGATTTACACAAAACACCTTTTTAATTACGAAAATATATTTTAAAGAATAATTTTTTGTAAATTACTACTACTGAAGATTTTTTTATAATAAATTCAAAAAAATATTTTTTAAATTAAATACCATTAATTAATGGTGTTTTACAATTTGGACATTTAGATTGTAAAGCAAAGAATTCACTCCCAGCAAAAGATTCTTTATAAATTAAAAGAAGTTTTGTTGAATTATCATAACCATCAATATCAACTTCTATCATTCTTTAATTTTTTTAAAATTTTTCTTTTTATTTTTAAATTCCAACAAACCCCTTATTACAAAAATCTTGTATTTTACATAAAAAAATAAATTGTTGCCTTTTTCCAATACTTATCTCAAAAGAAGGGGAAGATGTACTTAAAGAGGATGGAGAGGGGGAAGAATAATTAGGGGTGTTGTTGTTGGATATTTCTGATAATGAAATTGAAGAAGAATTATTTTTAATTATTTTTGAAGATTGTGAAGATGTTAATGAAGGAGTAGAAAATTGTTGGTGAATAATAGATGCTCGATACATAATTAATTAATTAATTTATTTATTTATTTTAACTTTAAATAAATTTTACTTACTAAAAATTAAAAAAAATTATTTAATGAATATAAAATAATTTTTGTATTATTATGAGATAATTAATTAATATATAAAAACTTTAAATAATTCTTACTTTAAAACACTTTTAAAAATAAAAATTAAAAAAACAAAACAAGGATATTTAAAATAAAAATAATTTACTAAAACTTATATAATTTTATTAAAAAAAGTTAGGTAAAATTGATTTAAATTTAAAAATACTTTAATTTTTTTCCCTAATTGATTAAATATATTAGAATTTAGGTATTAACAATTGTAATAAAATATTTGGCTTTTTTGGCTTTAGCAATTTTCTTTATTTATTCGACTAAAGATTTGTGCAGGTGCATATTTTTAAAGAGAATATATATTCTCCTTTAAATTAAAAAACTGTAGTTTAGAATTCATATACCTAATTTTATTTTAAAAAATTGAAGAATAATTGATATTGAAGAATAACTTTCAAAATATGTATTTCTTTTAAAATTTTATTTCCAAACATTTTTTCTAAAAATCAAAGTCCATTCTTTCAAATTATTTAAAGTTTCATTTATTTTATGAAAATCGTTATTCTAAATTTATTAACTTTTATGTTAAACACTGAAAATTTTCTTCAAGCTGTAATTATTTTTAAGGTTAAAATTGAAGAATAATTGATATAACAATAAAATATTAATAATAATATTTTTTTCTATTTTACTCCCACGATTTTGTACTAAAAAGATATACCTGTGTACTAAGTGTTTTTCAAATAAAATAATTGTTTTGAAAAATTGAGGGGTTATTTTAATAAAAAATAATTTTTGACTTAAAAGAATCGAATTCAAATTTTATAATTTAAAAGAATTTATTTATTGTAAAAGAAAAAAATAGGTAAATATTTTAAAAATAAATAATACTTATTTTTAATATTAAAAAAGTATATATTCATCAAAGCATAACAAAGTAATTAGTTAATTTCAAAAATATTTTAGATACGTCAAATAATCACTAAATAAAAACTTTAAATAAAAAATAAAATAAAAGTAGTATAGAATTTATATTTTAATATATTTTAATTTTTAAAATTAAAAAATACTAATAAATTAAATTATATGTAGACTATCCGTTAATTTGCCGCACCCTGTAGACTATTATGTATAATATTGTCAATTAAAATAAAAATATTTTTTTAATATTAAACAAATTTAGAAATATTATATAAATTTTTGTTTAAATTATATTTGTCAAAAATTAATTTAAAAAATAAATTCTTTTATTATTTTAATAATCATAGTAAAATTAAAAAATAAATTTTCTCACGCAAGTGCAAAAAATAATTATTTTTTCTTTATTTTTTAAATAAAAAAGAACTAAAAAAATAATTTTTGTATTATTTTGTGGGTAAGGGGACACTTCCAATAGGTGGTTGTTGTTTTTGTGTTTGTGTAGGCGATGAAATTATTTTGTATTTAATATTTTTTGTGTTATAAATATTATTCGAAGAAGATAAGGTTTTTTGTGGAAATAAATTGATATCCTAAAATAAAATAAAAATTAATTTTTAAATAATTTTTACATTTGTTTTTAAAGTTTTTGTTGTTGTTAAAATTAATTCCTCCTTTCCCTCATCCTCCTCATTTTTTAAATAATTTAAATTATTTTTATTATTTCTGCCAAATTTATTTAATAAAATACTCATTAATTCTTCTTCTTCCTCATTAAGTGGCTCTTCAGAATTTAAACGTTGTTGAAGCCAAAAATTTGGTGAAGGAGATGGGGGTTGTATTTCTTTATTGGGGATCATTAAATAATTTATTTTGTCCTTCCTAGATGATTTATCTGGCAACTAAATAAAAATAATTATTTTGTTTATTAAAATAAAAATTACATCAAATATTTTTTTATTTTGTTCCTCCATTTTCCCTTCTCTATCATAGAGAGGTTTAACCAAATAAGGATTTCCTCCAAATCTCGTTTTAAATTCATTCCCGTCTTTATTATCTTCATTCAAAATTTCTTCAAAATTATTATCTAATTTTAATTCTAAATTTCCCTCCATATTTTGATTAGTTCCAATTTCTTTCTCCTCTTTATTTAAATTATTTTCTGATCCAAAATTAACCTTATAAAATAAAAATAAATTTAAAAATATTTTTTACATTAAAATCATCTTCTCCAAAATGTTCCGAATCTTTCTCATTAAATGACAATCCATGAGCCATATATCTATTTTTTATTAAATTAAAATTAAAATTAAATATTTATTTAAATACAATCCATTTATTGAAGAAAATCGTCGTTTCCTGTTTTTTAAATTATTTTCTTCTAAATTAGATTCATTTTTATTCATTTTAATAATTGTTCCATTATGATAATCTAATAATATTTCTTTATTTGGATAAACATAAATACTTGGTCCTTCCTTTATTTGAATAACTTTTGTTTGATTTCTTTAAATTTTAAATTTAAATATTAATTAATAAAATTACTTATAAAATATTATTTTTGCATTTATTTTAAACAAAATTTCTTTATTATTTTTGTCATTTTCTTCTTCAGAGCTAGAATCTCCTGTAGATTTATTATTTTCTCGTTTCCTTCTTTTAATTTTAATAAATATTATTTAGATATAAAAATTATTTAAAAAAACCTTTCACTTCCAATTAATTGATCAACAAATGTTTTGTAATCATCAAATATATCCTCATTAGCTGTTGTTGTAGATAAAATAGAAATAAATGTTGAAAATAAAAATAATGTGAATTTTGAATTAATCATATTTTTACTTTCTTTAAATTTAAAAATAAATTAATTTTCTTCAACCGTATCCTAACCCGGAATTTCCTAATTATTAAAATATTATAAAAAATAAAAGTTTCGACACAGTTTTAAAAATTTATATTTCTTGCAAGACTTTGACAGGAATAAATATTTTAATTAAAAATTTAATAAATATTAAATATTAAAAATGCAAGAAGATAAAGTAATCTTTCAAAAAAATTCTTTTTCAATTTTTAAAATAAATATATCATCAATTTAAAATTATTTTTATTTTTAAAATAATTTATTTGAAAGAATTAAAAAGCTTTTTATTTGTTATTTTTAACAATAAAATGGTGATTCAAAAATTAAAATAAAACAAAAATATCACAATTATTCATTCTATTTTTTGTAAGCTATTATTATCTGATTTATCATTAAAAAATTTAAAAGAAACAATTTAAAAAAAGGGTTCAAACAAAGTTTTATGTTTTATTTCTGTTATATGTAAATATAATTATTTTTCATAAAAATTATATTTATTTCCGCCTTCACAAAATTTAAATCAAAAGTTAAATTTAAATAAAATTTTTAATTAAAATTAGGTATATGCAAAAATAATGATTTAAAATCACAAATCAAATTTTTTTAATCTAATTTTTTAAAATCCTTATTTTTTATTAATTACATATTAAAATAATCTAAAATATTTGGAGTAAATTCTGTATATTGGCCATTGGTTGTAACACGCAGAGCTGGGTAGAACCAACTGTTTTTCCCGTAGTCGAGACATCTTTACCGATGATTTTGAACAAATACGAATAAAATTTTAAAATTTTAATTTAGAACATATGCTTGTTTCATATCGAGAATATTTTTATTTTGTTATTCAACAAATACAGAGTGTCAATACCGTATTTACTCTAGTAATCCCCCAGGGGGATTATTGTTTCGACCCATTGCTAGGGTGGGGAATTAATAGAGGCTGGGGAATTAATAGAGGCTGGGGGATTAGTGTTTCAACCCATCACCAGAGTGGGGAATTGTTTTGAAGATTGAATATACGCCATTAGATTTTGGCGTTCTGAACGTCTTTTTCCCCGGAACGTCCCACTTGTGTACCGGCCGTTTGTGTACCTGGCCATATTTTGGGCCATAACTTTTTTGATTTTTAACCAACTTAAATTATTATTATATCAATCGAAAGCCCTGGATGTGAGGATTATTTTCGCCAACAGGATTGATTTGATTAGATCATGTTATAAAAAGTTATATCTCGATAAATGCGCTCAATCGTGATTTTGATCTTTATCTGTCTGTAACTTTTTGTATGATGATCTGATCAAATCAATCCTGTTGGCCTCTAAATGTGTCCTCTTAATTCCACGAAATCCCAATATCCCTAAATTCTATGTATCCCTCAAATCCCTTCATCCCTCATTAATCCCTGAAAGTAGGGTTCTTAATCCGATTTCAGACAGTTCCGAGTTCAGACACATTCGTCACTTCCGAGTGACCCTGCTCACCACGACTTACACCTCAATAAAATTGTTATTATTGGAAATAAATTAGGAATTGAGGTGAATTAGGCGATAAATTAGGCATTTCTATAATTTTAATTTTTTCGTTTCGTTTCGTTTCGTAAAAATGAAATTTATTTTTTCGTTTCGTTTTCGTTTCGTACATTTATGAATTTATTTTTTCCGTTTTCGTTTCGTTGAGGCGAAAATTCTATTTTCGCCCGTCTCTGGTTCCAACCCATCACTAGGGTGGGGAATTAATAGAGACTGGGGAATTAATAGAGGCTGGGGGATTAATAGAGGCTGGGGGATTATTGTTTCAACCCATCCATAGGGTGGGGAATTAATAGAGACTGGGGAATTAATAGAGACTGGGGAATTATTAGAGTAAATACGGTATGTGCTGTGTATTCTAGAATTTTAAATTAATTAATAAAAATAATTAATTATTTATTAAAAAATATATAAAATCATAAAAAAATTTCAAAATTTATTTTCGAATCATACAAATTAGGTAATTAAGCAGATGTAAAGTTATCTTTAGCCACAGTCTAGCTAATTTATTAATTTTAGTAACATAAAAAATTTAAAATACCGTATTTCCTATATTAGAGCCCCATGGGGCTTTATTTTTCAACTATCCGCCAAGGTGGGGCTGTATTAGAGGGTGGGGCTCTAATTGAGGGTGGGGCTCTATTTTACAACCCTCTTTTGAGACAAAATCCCATTTATTAACTATCCATTGCAACTAGAGATAAGCCGAATGTTTGGTCGATAAACCTGCAAAATATCGAAAGAGAATCGATATTTTTCGATTTTTCAAGAAAAATAAGCTTTTTAAGCAATGAATAACAAAATAGTCCCAATAGTTCAATGAGGCTAAGATTAATTATTAACTATCGATAGATTTGGACGGATTAAATGAAATATTAGGGGACTAGTATTTGACATCGATGGATCAGAGGTATAAAAGCGGATTTTAAGGGATTATGGGGTATATCAGAGGTTTAAGTTTATATTGAGAGATTTAGCGGGATTAAGAGGGATATTCTGGACTAGGGGTATTAGAAGGCATATGAAGTGATTTTGTTTGAGGAAGCTTTGGAACATGTTCCATAACTGGAACTGAAGAAATTAAAAAAGCAGTTCCAGAACTGGAACCGGTTCCAGAGACCGGTTCCAGATAAATGTTGGAAATTCTCCATCACTGATTATAAGCGAGATCCCTAATAGATCTCTAATAATCTCGCGAATTTTCGTCAAGTGGATTAGATTTTGGAGATAATAGGAGGGTTTTGGGGGAATATAAGCGACGATATTAGAGTATTTTGACGTTCATCCCTATATCCCTATGATCCCTCCTCTTACATGATCACGACATCATAGATATCCCCCTTTAATTTCTTAACTCTCTTAATACATCTTAAAAGTTATTGGGATATTTTTTCCTCCAATATTTTTTAGGTGGGGCTGTATTTGGGGTGGGGCTCTAATTGAGGGTGGGGCTCTATTTTTCAACTATCCTCCAAAGTGGGGCTGTATTAGAGGGTGGGGCTCTAACAGAGGGTGGGGCTCTAATATAGGAAATACGGTAAATTTTGTTTAAATTATTTAAAATAAATTAAATATGTAAATTTATTTCCTTATTTTTTTCTCAAATAAATTTTTAAAATAAAAATTAAATTATTTAAATTAAAAAAAATATTTATTTTTTATTTTATTTAAATTTAGAAATGTATAATTATTTAGTTAATTGTTTTTTACAAAAATTAATTTTAAAAAATTTAAATATTTTTTTTGTTTTAATTTTGTAAAATTTTATTTTTTTAATCTAAAAATGGAAATAAAAATTTAAAATAATTTTACGTTAAAATTAAATTGCAATTTATTTTTTAAAAATTGAAAATAAAAATATTTTTAGTCTAAATTTTTTAAATATTTTTTAAAAATATTTTTTAAATATATTTTTGGATTTTTGTTTTTAAGAATCTTTTGTTTAAATTTAGCTTTTTTTAATATTTCTTTTATTTTTGTTTTTAATTAATTATTTTATCTAAACAATAAATGTTAAATTTTGTTGTTTGTATTTAAATTAAAAATTTATTTGAAACAAAAATATATTTTTTATTATTTAAAAAATTATTTTTATTTGTGTCAAGAAATTAAATACCCCACATATATTTTAGTAGATACTCAAACTTTTTCTATGGAAATTACCGTATTTATTCTAATAGAATGGCCTCTCGATTAGAATGACCCTTTTTGGGGGTATTGAAAAATAGAATGGCAGCCATTCTATTGTAATAAATACGTTATTTTTTCATAATTCTATCCTTGTGGAAAGGTGTTAATATAATTTTTAGTTAAATTTTGTCTTCGTTTATATTCCGATCCAGAATACTTAAAGTGATGATGATGTATTTTTTTTAATATTTTATAAAACCTTTTAAAAGTGTACATTCAAATGATTAAATAAATATTTTTATTAAATTTTTTAATATTTTTAATAATTTCCTCCTTAATT